AGGGATACCAAGTCAAATTAAAGAACTCTGGGCAAAATTGTTATTAACCACTGCAGTGGGGCTAAACCTGCCCTGCAAAGGTTAACTGCTCAATTTGGTCTAGGGAGGAAAATAAAAAAGTTATACTCACCCCATCCTCTGAGCCAGCTTGCTCCTAGCCAGTCCTTTCAGCCTTACTCCCCCTCCGGTGCAGCAGTCAAAGGTCCCTGAGTCATCACACCCTTACACATTGTATAGGATGTGAAGACGCTGAGGGACATACAATTAATGAAGCATAACAGGAGACAGGCAGGAGGGAGCGCTGTCACAACCAGCAGGCTCATAGGGTCAGTTGAGCATAACTTTGTTATTTTCCTCCCTAGACCAAAATGAGCACTTAACACTTGCGGTGTGAGGGTAGCCCCGCTGCAAGGGTTCATACAAATTTAGCCCAGAGTTCTTCCTTAAGGTACTTACAGTTCTTTCATTTAAATAAGGCTAACAACTCCTAAAATACATTTGTCAGCTTTGGATGTACAATACTGAGCCACATCAGCCTCCCTTAGCTTCCTTTATTCCATCCAAGGTGTTGTCAACTCTGCAACCATTAAAACACCAGGCAACCCACAGGTATTTAATTTCTTCATTTAGGGCTAATAAGATATTACAATTTAGAAATAAATATATCTTAAAAATCAGATCTTTTTGACTAAATTTTAAAGATACTTGCAAAAGAAAGATTGTTTTGCATTGTCTTTGCTGATAATTGGTATGGGAATGCCCCATCCCACCCCTGACTATCACTGGGGTATATGGCAATAACTATATCGGTCAGATTTGGCCATCACTAGGACATGGTCCAAATATTCTATAGCACAAAAAGGAACAGAACATGCAAAATGCTGATCTTACAGTTTATGACTATGGTGAGGCAACAAGAGAAGGAAGTTGCAAGATGACAGTTCTAGCACCAGATTATTTATGGGGGAGGATAATTGTTTAAACTTGTATGATCAATGGTATCTCCCACAAGAACAGTTGGCTTGGGCTGTCTGAAGGTGTAACAGAGAAACCATAATCTAGCAGGATATTGCCAGGTTAAAAAGGCAACTGGTACTAGAAAAAATACTAATACACACTTTTGTTTTCTGCTGGTTGCCTTTGACTGAATGCTCTGTGATTTGCAGTATCAGTAAAGCCCATTGCTTTAATTGTGTGCTATATGTAAGATTACCCCTGATTGCCTCAGATTGCCCCTGATTGTAAGCCCTCAGGGGCAGGGCCCTCCTTACCATCTTGTCTTGAATTGTATTGTAACTGTTATGTCTTCCTTATACTGTAAAGCGCTGCACAAACTGTTGGCGCTATATAAATACTATGTAATAATAATAATAATAATATGTACATCATTGCTAAAAATCTAAAAAAGACCATGACCCTTAACAGTCACTTTGCACCACTCTCACTCTTGGCAACTAGCAACAGGGTGTCTTTAGAAAACTTTAGAAGTAATTAGCACCTGGCCAAACTAGATCAAGAGAACTGAAGCTAAAAAAACACCTTTTGAAGTTTTATCACTTGTCAACTTTAGGTGAACAAATGTATAAGCAAGTAAAAATGATTATAACAAATGAATACAAATTGTAATGTTATTATATTGCATTTGTTTTGTAACTATGAAACTATTTATTGTATAAGCAGTGATTTACAATAGCTTATAGAAACCAAACGTTCACTCTATAGAAATGATTGTTTGTTGCTATGAGATCAAGGACCAATAAATCAAAAGCAGACTCTCCGATGCCTGGATGTACCTTTTAAGAATGCACAGGGGTTTCAAAACCTGAGGTACTTTTTTTTCACATTTCATAGCAGTGATGTGCCGCTTCCTGCAAAGATAGACTATTCTGCATGCCTTACAAACATCCAAATTGGTTCACCACTTTAATGGGCAGCCTTAAGCTGGCCATACACCTGCAGATTTTCTATGGTCAGATCGAAAAAGGGCAACAGACTCCTCCATCTACGTTAAACTGTGTGGATGGAGGAATCCCCCACTGGGTCAAAATTCAGTATCTTGCTAGTCAGCCCTGCTGGCTCTCAAAAAACCTGAACAATGCCTGCATCCAATCAGATTGGTCAGGTATTTTAAGAGCCAGTGGGGCCAACTAGCAAGACACTGAAGCTTGGCCCAATGGGAGATTCCTCCATCCACACAGTTTAGCATTGATGGAGGAATCTGTTGCACTTTTTCCATCTGACCATAGGAAATCTGCAGATAATCTATAGGTGTATGGCCAGCTTAACTTGCCAAAATAATAAGGTGTGGAAGGTGGGAGGGAGCAGGTGTATAATAGCACCTGTAGACACCAGAGAGTGGGAAATATTAGCAGATATTATAGTCAACTATAATTTTAAATTCTAATACATTTTCACTAAAACTGGTGTGAAAGATTTTAAAATACTGCTATTTTTTGAGTTTGTGAACAGTAGATGGGGAGAATATTCACTGAAGGGAGAAACTTTTCATTATGTTGCTTCAATAATCCAATGTGGTTAATAGAGTTAGTATTTTTAAAATTCTAGATAAAGCGGACCTGTGATCAGAGCTCTCTGCATGTGTATTTGTAAAGCAGAAATATGGGGAGAGTGAAAAACACTCGCCCCATAATTAAAGCCCACGTGTGACACTTTAACTGTCACAGTTCAGCTCTATAGATTGAGAACTGAATAATCACATGCCACTGATCGCTCAGTTCTGGTCCCCCCACAGGGATTCCCCCTCCCCTCTCTGTTCTTCCTGCGCTGACAGGAGGGATGGATGCAGAAGGAGGGGGTGGATCCCAAACAATATTGTCGGAAACCTTCCTGTCTGCAGTGCGGCTCTGCGCTATAAGCATATAGCAGGCAAAGTCCCTCTATATGCTGGGTTTTGGGTCACAGGAGGACATAGTAAATGTCCTCCTGTGACCCTAAAGAGAACTATGACCAAAAAAGGTTGGGCCATAGATCTCTTTTAATTCAATAAAATATATTTATGAAACAATCTTGCCAACGGTTTGAATGGCGTTTCAGGCACAGTTATGGACTCACTGGGCTTGATTTACTAAAGGCAAATAGGCTGTTCACTTTGCAAGGGGACTTTTACTTTGCACTTAGCTTAGTCAATGTGGTAAAACTTCACTTCACAATACCAACAGTATTTTTGCTTGCACATGATTGGATGATGGAAGTCAGCAAAGGTTCACCTTTTTCAGCTAAGGGAAAATTCCCTTGCAAAAGTGAAAAACCTATCTGCCTTGCCTATTTGCCTTTAGTAAATCAACTCCACTAGCTCTATCCAAATATTGGCACTCCAAAACCAGCCATCAAAGGAAGCCCAGGTTCCAGTCAATACTGGCAAGTTATTTAACACTTTTATGAACATTGTCTTATAGCCTGCCTAATTTTAAAACACCAGTGCACTGAATTTTAATTATGGGTCCACATGGCTTTGAACCAAGCATGGGTTTATCAGGCTAGAGTTCATTTCCACATCTTCCCAGTCTATGTCCACTTCAAATGCCAGTCAGGTTTAGAAGCATTCAAAAACAGAAATTTATTGAACCTGATTGGGCATTTGATATGTAGAGGGAAGATAGAGCACTTGGTATATCATGACACCAAACTATAAAAATAAACACAATTTAGTCATTTGAAAATGTACTAAAATCGTCATCACCTGTGGATTTTTTTTCTTTAACGGTGTAAGACAAAGTTTTAATTAGTAAATATGAGTAAACTGACATTACTTTTCCAAATCTCTCAAAAATGCACAGGCTGATGTGTACATTTGTCTTCCATAAACACACAGTGCATCAAATATGATGTTCCTATCTAATGTTTTCATTTTTTTACATTTTTTGACAACATCAGACATCTACAATGAGAAATGTAAAAAAAAAGTTGTACCTTTACTTTTACCTAGAACTGGGTGGAATGTTTCCATGAAGAAAGCAATTCCAGACAAACGAGGATACAAAAGAATAAAAAAAAAATCATGAACATATGTATATGCATTAGTTCGCCAAGAAAAGGTGATACTAATTATGACATTGTTAAATGACTATACTAATGATGATGTAGATTATAATAGATGATAAAGACAATGATGGCAAAACAATGCATGATCCAAAGTTGGCACATGACTACTGGTGTACATGCACAAAATTAGGGGATGTACATGCTCTATTTAAAAAATAAAAAATATACATAAATAAATATATTTATATATTATATATAGGTTTTGGGTGATGCAAGCAAATGGCACACTAGTTACTAAACTAATACACTGCAAAGACGTTAGCATTCCTGAAACGAATACCAATGTGCTTTCAGAGTGAACCAATCAGCCATGCATCAATGAAAATTAATGGAGTTTTCGCAGGATACAATATGATAAACTGAGAGTTTTCTCAATCTAAATTGCGAGCACTTTTATTTATTTATTTTGTCGTGTCGACAATCTTCATCCTGTCCCTTCAGCAGTTTACACCATTTCAAGCAATACACAATTTCATTTCTTTTTTCAACAATCAACTGCTTTATTTGTTCCAATTTTTTGGTTCAGTTATTATATTGCAGAAAAGGAAAAGGATATCAAAAGTGAACATAAAATAAATAAGGATGCGGCTAAAATAATGTGTCAAGATTTGCAGTCAAACACAGTTTTAAAGCAAATTTGCCCATCGTTGCAGTGAAGGACTGAAGCAGCTACAGAACAGTAGGAAACAATGAAAGCAGAGTGGAAAAGGAACAGAGCCCATACCTTGGTCGCCCATCATCAGGTGCGCCAGACCTTAAAGGGAAACAAGAGCAAAGTCAGCAAAGTACAAGGGAGCATGGGAAGATGTTGCCACAGTGACAAAAAATGGTTTGTGACAAACAACTTGTCTTCCTGTATAGCATCTGCATTATAAAGGGAAAAAAATGCATCTTTAATTCCATCCCTGGTGGACAGACCCAGGGATAAAACGTACAATTCCAACACTATATGATGACCCTATATTGCACTTTACTTACAGATATTGCAAGTTTAAAAAAAAACAAAAAAGAAACAAAGAAAAGGAATACAAAACTGGATTGTAACCAAGATTTTTTGGGGGGGATAATTTTACTTGCAGCTTTTGGTTTTCCTTGTTTTAAGTTTGTTTTATATATATATATATATAGTAAGGCTCAGCAGAAAGCATTGCTCACCAAAGAAGAATCTGACAAATGGGCTGGGTCTGGTCTTTTTCCCCTCATTAGACATGAGTGCTTAGATTATTAAATAAAAAGTCCTTTAACACTGAAATGATAATATGGGAGGAATCTATAGGTGAGGAAAGGGCCTGTATAGATGGAAAGTAAGTGTGAAATCAATGATACAGGATTGGGTATATAGGATGCTTTTCTACCATCCCAAAATGGATGCTCTCATTAGTAGAACATTTGAAAAATGTTCTAAATATACTTTATTATTTCATTTTTATGTTGTCATATGAGAATTCACTACATATTTCATAGTCTGGAGGAAGATGTTTTGGGCTAAGGAAGAAATGTTAGTCAAATAACAGCAATGCTTAAATTAAAAGAATAAACTTAAATTCTAGTTGTATCCAGAAGGCTGAAAAGCAAAGGTCATGATCTTCAGAGGAGAGAGTGGACCAGAAAGTTGATTGCAGTACATTTTTAAGATGTCAACATCAGCTTGCATAGTCATATAAAATGTATTTCATTTGAAACAATTTAGTGTATATTTTTATTAGGGAATGAGGACTTAATTACTGCTTTTAAATTGTTTTATAATATAAAATTGAAACAATAAATACTTTAAACAATATTTATAGACCATGTAGTGTATCATTATTTTAACAATAAAAGTCAAGTAACAGATATCGAAAGAGTAGCACCTCCTCCATGACTAAGAAGTAGGTTGTAATATTTGCACGTACATTTTACTACTACTTTTTTTAGCTACATAGGTAGATTAGCAAAATAAAAACTTCAGTCTGGTGGTTCTATTTATTCATTATGTAGTTTTTGGGTTTTTTCTTGATTCTCGACAGCTGTTTTGTTACTATCTTGCTTTACTTGCAGGTTGCTGCAGCATGCTTATGTTTTCTTTAATACTTGTATCATACATTTGTCGAAAAGAAACAAATGTGAATCCTTATAATGAAGAATGTTAGTGAAGTCATGACTTTTTCAGGTTCAGAAATTGTGCCTATGGTTTGGTGAAAATGTTAGTTCAATTTAATCATTTTCTGTAAAAGGTATTTCCTAATGTTACAAACAACTGTATGTTTTTGTATCTCAATATAACTTTGTCATTGTAATTTTCCATTATTGTGAAAGATTACAAAGCAAATCATCAATACATCTCATTTTAATTAATTTCAGTTACAAAAAAAGTAAAGATTTCAATTACAGAAGATAAAATAAAAAATGCTGCTATACATAAAGCACTTAAGAGCCAGGCTAGTTGATTTTTTTAAATGGATTTATGTTGCAAAAAACATATTCCAAAAATGTTTTCATGTTGCTATTTTCTAAATAATGTATTCTTAAAGGGCTTAGAATACAAGTATAATTATATGTCCACTTATTTGTATTACTATTACCAATAATATCTTTATTAATTTTAAATAAAATACATATTACATATAGAGTTTTTAGAATACAAATATAAATATATACACACACATTTGTATTAATATTATCAATATGATCTTTATTATTTGCAAATAAAATCCATATTAAATATTTTACAAATATTATCATTAAATCTTATGCTTAAATTACATTATTTGCTATTTGGTATTAAAGAGGATATTATATATTTATTAATTTCAATGTTGCACATTTCAGTACTAACATGTGAAAGTTTTACAATGTTTCATTACTAGCTTGCTGTAACATCAAAAGCACTTGTATTTAATAATACTCTGCTCTAAAAATGCATGTGTGTGCAACATTGCTGAATAGACTGAAATGTTGACACAGCATATTTGGTACATCTTTTATTGTAAATGATATATCACACCAGTTTATTTTTTTCACACATACTTACCAGATCTAACCTTATGTTTATACATTACAAATAAAAAGGAACAAGTAGGGGAACTAGGGGTGAAGTTAAGGTTGAAAGCACCCACCTTCTACATGGTTGTCTTCTGAAAGCACATGACAGGGAAGGAGAGAAAAGGAGAAACATTCAGTAAGCAGCATGCAGACTATCACTTGCCATTGCATGTCTTTAGCATGCACGGCGTCAAACACAACATGCAAATGCTCAATTGCTACCATTCAAGGAAAGGGGGATAGGGAAGTAAAAGCAACAGGGAATAAATGTCCCTTACAGTATATGTAACATTGACTGAATCATTTTACCATTTCTGCAATAGTTACATTGACCAGTGATCTGATGGTAAAACCTTTAATGTCCAAAGTGTGATTCATGTATTTTTTTCAGTCCTGTATACAGTACAACAAAAGTGCTCATTTTAGGCTCTATTACTTTAATAAAACAATTCTTATATGCACAAATAAACCACCTGGGCTAATCTATCTTTATAGATCAGTTCACTTCTATGCTGATAGCCAGATCAATGAGTAAAGATTCCCTTTAATAGTAATAAATAAATGATTGTAGAGATGTTTGGAAATCAATGTTCTCAGGTTTTAATGCTTGCAAGGCTGACTGAATATGTATAATGTACATATCTAGGAACAGATCTATTGGAATTCAATATAATCAGTGTCCTAGGGGAAACCCATCTTTAAAATTAGGGATTCATGAAAATAACGTAGAATTACAGCAGACATGTATACTTTGTTACATATACAATGCACTGATTATAAAACTTAAATAAAAAAGTTTTACTTTATGAATTCTTGGGTGCACTTAATAATTATAGGATTGTAAAGATTATTACATACAGTAAACTTCTAGCATAAATGTAAAAAAATCCATAATAGTTGCCTCTACTACTATTTTTTTTGCTTCTTCTATAGCTATTTTCAATGGTATTTTAAAAGTGTGAATTTTAACACTGGCAAGTTTTCTACTAAGCATTGTTACTTAAAATCTCATTAGCTAGTTGCCGCTGATCAGAATCAATAAATGGTATAGTAAGGATAATCACTGTTTAGTGATTTTATGCAAAGAGGCATTTACCCGTTTATATATTTTGCTTACACTTATAACTATTTTCTTTTTGGTTCTGAAATGCTACAGGAAAGCTAAAAAGTAGTTAGGCATGTATTGTGATTTTTAAAACATTTAATTTGGATAGTAGTTTTGAACTTTTAGTGAGTATTTTTGAATCATTTTATTCTAAAGATGCATTTAGAAAACAACATCACTTAACAAAAATTGCTTGCTAGGGCATATTTCTGTGATGACTCTGGCTGGATATACAACCCTATAGCATCTTAAAAAGTAGCATTAATTATCACTCTTTTGTTGCAGTTAGTAATATTATTCACCTTGGGCATTTTCTAATCTGTGTGGGATTGCATTTCAGAAATGTAATAGCATTAATAATAAAAATTGTGAGAATAACCAGCTAAAGTATGGTGGAATAAATGATGATGCAGTGGCAGTGTTTTGTGGCAGTTTATGATATACTGCACTTGGGAATTTTCAGTCAGTGTGAGATTACATTAACAAATTAAAATCACATTAATACTATAAACAGTCAGGGAAACCATGTCTAGGTACAGAGTAATGAATGATGACAGAGTGGTGACCTTCACTATTATTAATTTATAATAGCATATAAACTAATAATCTGTAGAACTATACATTAACATATATTAACTGATTTAAATTAAAATCCGATTGGCTGGTATAACTATTTTATCATATGAAGCACTGAAAAAATAAGATCAGAATGGCTTCTGTTAGCTGTATGAAACCCATAAATCTTATAAAACAAAATGAGGCTGATTTACTAAAGGAGTTCAAACGTTTTTGTTAAAAAAGAGAATGAGGAATCAATTCAATTATACAACCAGGTGAAAAACAAATTCCTGTTTGTTTTATGAATTTGCTTATGGTTGGATAATTGAGATTTATTTTCACTCTTTTTGAGCTAACATTCTCAATTCCCTTAGTAAATCATCTAACAGACTTTAAGCTTTTTAGTTGATTCTGAAGCTTGGTGATCTTACTTATCTGACTTGGTCTTATTAGGGATAAAGGGGAGTTTGAATTACTACAAATGGTTGGTGCAGACCTAAGCCAAGGGATCTGTAACTACTCTAAAAAACATATCTGGGAAAACGTAACCCCTCTCGCCCCAAATCTACCATTCCGCCCTACATCCATTGACAAAATGGAACAAAAACTCTTCAAAGCTTTTTTTCTTACCTACCTACCTAGGTCAGCCATTGCATGAGTCTCCAAGCTGCTTCTTCCAGAAAAGAAAGACCAGTGATGCTGTTTCACTAAATTAATATAACAAATCTCCATGAACATATGTGTATGTTTTTTTTTTTAAATTAAACATATTCTATGTTGGGTGACTGAATGGAGTAAAGATAAAAAATTTGATTTTACTCTCTTCAGGAATGTAATACATGGGGATTTTTAATGTAATTATGTATCTGCCCAGATGTATTCAGATAATTAAATAGGGTATGGCAGGAAACAATAGGGCCCTCAGGCTTTTCGGAGTTTAGACCCTTGTTTCTTGCAACAGGTGCATACTCTCTTTTGTCTCTGGCTAAGAGCTTCATAGGATCCTTGTAGGTAGATAAACAATTACATTGTCCACCCTTGTTTAAATGCAATCATGACCTGGGGTTAGTCTCTGGACACCTGTGCATGTGAACTTTTCCCTCCAAAACCTTGAATACAGTAGCATAATTAAAGATTTGCATAGAAAGGGGTTGGAGGTTCTAACAAAGAGCATTTGGAAATATCCAATCCCCGGAGAAGGATTCTATTTTGATTGGATTAAGCATTGGGAGGCCACCAATCGATGGCCCTCAATGCTTCCTTATGAACACCAGATATATATTAATCCAGACTTTGGAGAAAAAAATTGTCTTTTTAGACCACCAGAATGGGGCCCTCGTGTGACACTTAACTGGTAAATATACCCGTACCCCCCCAGGACTTAAATGTATGTCTATTGTTTGTCTCATATATATGCCTTATATATATGTGTATATATATAAGGCCCATGTATTCTGCATGCTTAAATCTTTTCTTTGTGTTTTGTAGTTAAATAGATTGTTGGTTCACTGTATTTAAGTCTTAATACTATATACCAATACATTTCTGTTATTGTGTTGAGCTTGAAAATCTCATAATTGAATCCTTATAACCAATTACTTGTAAGTGTGAACCCCTATATAGAGGATCATAACTTGGTTAACACTTGTACTGCCTTACAATCAGAAACAGAATTCCCACAGGAATTGCCTAACAAAAAAAAAACTAAAAAAAGTAGTAGCAGCCAGCTGAACATGCAACACAGCTTTATATTAAGCTTCTGGCTCTCAATCAGTGATGCCTCTCAAATTTGTTACATTGCACTGAGTGGCTGCTGAGTAATTAATCTGTTCAGCATGAACAGGGGGCTCACACCTTTCCTGACTGGGATTTTGTGATGGAATATATATTATGATCACTGCAACTCCTACAGTCTGAGATTACTGCAGGTTGGGCCTTGCTAAGGACTAGACTAGACCTGTGACTGCTGATTTGGTAACCCATCATTTGAAATCAAATTAAGTAAAAATTGTATTTTTCATTTTTTTTATTGTGTAAGTTTGTTATTATTCGCTGGTTCTATATAAAGAGGCTTGAATTGCATATATAATCGGTTTCTTGGGAGTCAGTGCAAATGGTGCCAAGTAATACAGATGCACTGCTATAGTCTGGGCTTGCCTCCAACCAAGCTTGTTGCTGTTCTTTTTCATGAGATCATTGTGCCGCTGGAGTCTTCTAGAATATTTTGAGGACCCATCATTGCACAAAGTGAAGTGTCCACATCACCCACAAAGGGGTTAAAGGGTAGTGGGCAGGTTTCTAGACTAAGCTTTCAGATTTATACAGTTTACATGAACTACAACTGGATTTAGACACATTTTAACAAGAAATATGTGGGTTGATATCTAAGCCAAAAGGTAGCAGCAGTATGAATTAGTCATCTTGCTCCTTTGGGTGCTGTGGTATTAAGTTTAGTCTGCGTTAGCTTCCTGGAGTTTGAAAGTTCTTCTCCAAACTATGTACATTTTCTCTGGGTGATTTGGTCCACTGTTACAATCAGTATGCCTAGTAGGCTTCTGTCTAAACTGGTTTGTGTACAATATACCACTGTATAGTAGTAATAGAGACATTAGACTGTAAGCTCTCTTTTTGACAGAGCTACATATCTTCAGGAATAATAATAATACCTGAATACTTATTAATTATATTTTTTACATTTTATATATAGAAATGTGCATCTTTATAGGAGAGTTGTGTTTGTATGTTTATGTGCCTAGTAAAAGTAATACAATTTGCAGGTATGAACAGCACCTTTAAAAAAAGCACTGCATACCAGACCTCCAAACCACAATTAAATATGTTCACTTTTCTGCATCATTAAAGCCAAGGATACAGTTCATAAAAATGTAAAAATATCTGGTGTCATATGCATTGTGCTGCAACAGTGAACACCCATACTCCTTTATGCAGCTGTTGGTTGCATTTAACTTAAGTATAGTCCTCAAGCACCTTATCACTGCACTAAAGCTGTGCTTTGAAAACAGTACCTTAATCTGCATGAAAGCTTGTCACCAGTACAAAAATGTCTGCCTTGTAGAGGACAGATCAAAATGTACCTATAAATATATTCTTTTTTTTAAATACTTTTTTTCATAATTTAAGCAAAGAAGGGTGTAACTGAGCTAGAAAATACAGAACCTATTTTTTAAGCACCAATGGATCATTACCAATGCTACATGTAGGCACATTTGCAGGCATATTTTTGTAAGGTCTACTATCAATTGCTAATATTGCTGCCAATTCCAAGTCTGCAAATCCCTGACGACAAATAACTCAAGCTTACATTTTTAAACTGATACTATGAAAATAAAATGTTCAAAATTAAACAAGACTTTTTTTCAAATTCTGATTTTTTTTTTTTACATTTATCAGTAGAGTAAGTTAAGCACC